ATGGTAGTACTGGTAGTCACAATGGTAGTACTGGTGGTCCACAAAGGTAGTACTGGTGGTCACAATGGTAGTACTGGTGGTCCACAAAGGTAGTACTGGTGGTCACAATGGTAGCACTGGGGGTCCACAAAAGTAGTACTGGTGGTCACAAAGGTAGTACTGGTGGTCCACAAAGGTAGTACTTGGGGTCACAATGGTAGTACTGGGGGCCCACAAAGGTAGTACTGGTGGTCACAATGGTAGTACTGGTGGTCACAATGGTAGTACTGGTGGTCCACAAAGGTAGTACTGGTGGTCACAATGGTAGTACTGGTGGTCCACAAAGGTAGTACTGGTGGTCACAATGGTAGTACTGGGGGTCCACAAAAGTAGTACTGGTGGTCACAAATGTAGTACTGGTGGTCCACAAAGGTAGTACTTGGGGTCACAATGGTAGTACTGGGGGCCCACAAAGGTAGTACTGGTGGTCACAATAGTAGTACTGGTGGTCACAATGGTAGTACTGGTGGTCCACAAAGGTAGTACTGGTGGTCACAATGGTAGTACTGGTGGTCCACAAAGGTAGTACTGGTGGTCACAATGGTAGTACTGGGGGTCCACAAAAGTAGTACTGGTGGTCACAAAGGTAGTACTGGTGGTCCACAAAGGTAGTACTTGGGGTCACAATAGTAGTACTGGGGGTCCACAAAGGCAGAACTGGTGGTCCACAAAGGTAGTACTGGTGGTCACAATGGTAGTACTGGGGGTCCACAAAGGTAGTACTAGTGGTTACAAAGGCAGTACTGGTGGTCCACAAAGGTAGTACTGGGGGTCACAATTGTAGTACTAGGGGTTCACAAAGGTAGTACTTTTGGTCCACAAAGGTAGTACTGGTGGTCACAATGGTAGTACTGGGGGTCCACAAAGGTAGTACTGGTGGTCACAATGGTAGTACTGGGGGTCCACAAAAGTAGTACTGGTGGTTACAAAGGTAGTACTGGCGGTCCACAAAGGTAGTACTGGTGGTCCACAAAGATGGTACTGGGGGGTCCACAAAGGTAGCACTAGTGGTTACAAAGGCAGTACTGGTGGTCACAAAGGTAGTACTGATGGTTCACAAAGGTAGTACTGGTGCTCACAATGGTAGTACTCTCAGTAGTAGTACCAGTTCCTAGTAACCAGTTACCAGTAACCAGTGTACCAGTAGATGACTCACTACCAACCAGTAACCAGTGTACCAGTAGATGACTCACTACCAACCGTCTCTGCGTGAATCACTGACTGTATTCATATTGCTGCTGACCATAGCAGGATTTCAAACACCCCCTCACACATAGGCACTGGTGGGTCAGTCAAGATAGAGAGCAGAGAGAGGCAGGTCGGCTGTTGGCGCTTTCCCATACTTTCTGTTATATTATACGTACTACCAGCCTACGTGAGTATTCTTACCCTATCCACGTATCGAAAACCCACATGACAGTACTGGGGGTCCACAAAAGTATTACTGGTGGTCACAAAGGTAGTACTGGTGGTCCACAAAGGTAGTACTGGGGGTCACAATGGTAGTACTGGGGGTCCACAAAGGTAGCACTGGTGGTCACAAAGGTAGTACTGGTGGTCCACAAAGGTAGTACTGGTGGTCCACAAAGGTAGCACTAGTGGTTACAAAGGCAGTACTGGTGGTCACAAAGATAGTACTGGTGGTCACAATGGTAGTACTGGGGGTCCACAAAGGTAGTACTGGTGGTCCACAAAGGTAGTACTGATGGTTCACAAAGGTAGTACTGGTGGTCACAATGGTAGTACTGGGGGTCCACAAAAGTATTACTGGTGGTCACAAAGGTAGTACTGGTGGTCCACAAAGGTAGTACTGGGGGTCACAATGGTAGTACTGGGGGCCCACAAAGGTAGTACTGGTGGTCACAATGGTAGTACTGGTGGTCACAATGGTAGTACTGGTGGTCCACAAAGGTAGTACTGGTGGTCACAATGGTAGTACTGGTGGTCCACAAAGGTAGTACTGGTGGTCACAATGGTAGTACTGGTGGCCCACAAAGGTAGTACTGGTGGTCACAATGGTAGTACTGGGGGTCCACAAAAGTAGTACTGGTGGTCACAAAGGTAGTACTGGTGGTCCACAAAGGTAGTACTGGGGGTCACAATAGTAGTACTGGGGGTCCACAAAGGTAGAACTGGTGGTCCACAAAGGTAGTACTGGTGGTCACAAAGGCAGTACTGGTGGTCCACAAAGGTAGTACTGGGGGTCACAATTGTAGTACTGGGGGTTCACAAAGGTAGTACTTTTGGTCCACAAAGGTAGTACTGGTGGTCACAATGGTAGCACTGGGGGTCCACAAAGGTAGTACTGGTGGTCACAATGGTAGTACTGGGGGTCCACAAAAGTAGTACTGGTGGTCACAAAGGTAGTACTGGTGGTCCACAAAGGTAGTACTGGGGGTCACAATAGTAGTACTGGGGGTCCACAAAGGTAGCACTGGTGGTCCACAAAGGTAGTACTGGTGGTCACAAAGGCAGTACTGGTGGTCCACAAAGGTAGTACTGGGGGTCACAATTGTAGTACTGGGGATTCACAAAGGTAGTACTTTTGGTCCACAAAGGTAGTACTGGTGGTCACAATGGTAGTACTGGGGGTCCACAAAGGTAGTACTGGTGGTCACAATGGTAGTACTGGGGGTCCACAAAAGTAGTACTGGTGGTTACAAAGGTAGTACTGGCGGTCCACAAAGGTGGTACTGGGGGTCCACAGAGGTAGTACTGGTGGTCCACAAAGGTAGTACTGGTGGTCACAATGGTAGCACTAGGGGTCCACAAAGGTAGTACTGGTGGTCCACAAAGGTAGTACTGGTGGTTACAATGGTAGTACTGGGGGTCCACGAAGGTTGTACTGGTGGTCCACAAAGGTAGTACTGGTGGTCACAATGGTAGTACTGGTGGTCCACAAAGGTAGTACTGGTTACAATGGTAGTACTGAGGGTCCACAAATATAGTACTGGTTGTCACAATTGTAGTACTGGGGGTCCACAAAGGTAGTGCTGGTGTTCACAAAAGTAGTAATGGTGGTCCACAAAGGTAGTACTGGTGGTCACAATGGCAGTACTGGTGGTCACAATGGTAGTACTGGTGGTCACAATGGCAGTACTGGTGGTCACAATGGCAGTACTGGTGGTCCACAAAAGTAGTACTGGTGGTCACAATGGTAGTACTGGTGGTCCACAAAGGTAGTACTGGTGGTCACAATGGTAGTACTGGGGGTCCACAAAAGTAGTACTGGTGGTCACAAAGGTAGTACCGGTGGTCAACAAAGGTAGTACTGGGGTCACAGTGGTAGTACTGGGGTTCCACAAAGGTAGTACTGGGGGTCTACAAAGGTAGTACTGGTGGTCCACAAAGGTAGTACTGGTGGTCACAGTGGTAGTACTGGGGTTCCACAAAGGTAGTACTGGTGGTTACAAATGCAGTACTGGTGGTCCGCAAAGTAGTACTGGGGGTCACAATTGTGGTACTGGGGGTTCCCAAAGGTAGTACTGGTGGTCCACAAAGGTAGTACTGGTGGTCACAATGGTAGTACTGGGGGTCCATAAAGGTAGTACTGGTGGTCACAATGGTAGTACTGGGGGTCCACAAAAGTAGTACTGGTGGTTACAAAGGCAGTACTGGTGGTCCACAAAGGTAGTACTGGGAGTCACAATGGTAGTACTGGGGGTCCACAAAGGTAGTACTGGTGGTCCACAAAGGTGGTACTGGGGGTCCACAAAGGTAGTACTGGTGGTCACAATGGTAGTACTGGGGGTCCACAAAGGTTGTACTTGGGGTCACAATAGTAGTACTATGGGACCGGGAGCTAAGTTCAAAATCTGAAGAGGCTGCAGCGGTGTAAGAATGTATAATTACTCACGATAAGACTGATAAAGAAAATCTTTCAAAATTTCTGAACAATTTCGAAATCGGCAGGAATAGTCAATTTTTTTAGACTTGTTCTTAAACTGTTGGTCTTATTTTATGGGCTGCCGTCTCGAACATGCCAAACCTCCATCATTATTCAATACAACTTATCAGGCTTTTGGTTGAATGTGAAAAACGAGTAGCCAGAACTGGCATCCAAAACACTGTGATATTTAATGCCATTCCCCACTACATATTTATGTGAGCAGACTTTCTCCCAGCTCTTTTATATAGAATCAAAATACAGAAACAGGATGAAGGAGGAACCTGATCTACGTTTAAAATTGTCTGCCATTAAACCTGAGATTCGGAACGTTGTGTCAACAATGCAGCGTCAACCATCCCATTAAACTATTTTTTTTAATACTACCATATATTTAATTGCATACTAAGTTACATATGTCTTTCAATTGAGAGATGAAACTGGGAAAACGAGTTTGCTGTTAGTTAATAAAATGGACTTGAGTAGACAGACTTTTTGAAAACCTGGGGGTCCCTGGAGGAATTAGGTAAAATAAAAGGGGCTTCTTCTTGGTGGTGAAAAGGTTAGAAATCACTGATATACACAATATAGAACAAGGCACATGGGGAGGGAAATCTTTAGCTCTGGATCTTTTGCACTCTCGTGTGTCGTCAAGAGCTATGCAATGTTGCAAGACAGCAATAGATAGGAAGGGAAATTCTCTGAGGCAAGGCAGAAGATATCAGTGGCTGCCCATGGGCTGTCATCGATACCTACACCCACCATCACCTACCTGCTCCTATCTACACCCACCTACACTATCCATAATCCATATACACCACCAACACCCACCTACATTACCCACCTCCACCATCAACGCCCACCTATACTACCCACATACACCAACAACACCCAACTACATCAACACCCACCTACATTACCCACATACACCATCGACACAAACGTACACCCACCCACACTACCCTACAGTGCCAACACCCACCTACAGCACCTACACCAGCACCCACCTACACCGGCACCAACCTACACCAGCACACACCTACACCGGCACCAACCTACACCAGCACCCACCTACCTGTAAGCAACGCCTCTCATAGCAGGTCGAGAGAGTACCACCAGGTTGAGAATATTGGCCACCACACCAATGGAGACCAGGACCGGGAACACCACCTGGTACACGGTCCACCTCAGGTAACGCAGGTCAGGCTGGTCCACCTCCGTGCAGTTCACCAGCAGGTCGGAGTCACGCAAGCTGCAGAAGAGCAAGAAACACTCGGGTTACAGGTCAGTCACGCAGGCTAAAGCTGAAAAAAATGCTTATTACAGGTCAGTCACGTAGGCTGAAGCTGAAAATAACATTTGGTGAGATGGGGGTATTATTTTTACCGTATTTCTTTAAATATGAAAATTTTCTTAAATACGTAATTGTTGAAATAATTGTTTTTCCTCACAACTTGACTTAGAAATTCACTAAACAAGAGCAGGAACTTTCTAATACAGGTCTATTACAGGTCAGTCACGCAGGCTGCATTGAAACAATAGCCCGTATTACAGGTCAGGTAGGCTGCATTCATGGGGGAAGGGGCACCAAACCCGTAGGGGGCCATACAACGCCTGGAGTAATAGGAGGCAATGATATTTGATCCAAGGAAAGGGAAGATAGGTCCAATTCCTTGGATCAAAAGCCCCCTCACCTCAAAACTGCGTCTTTAAGAGTGATGGACAGATTACATCGACTTTACATCTCTACAGCTTCTTATTCTGTATTCGACTGAAGAAGCCTACTGTGTAGGCGAAACGTTTCGGAATGAAGATACCTAACTGTTATACATGTGTCTTACTTATCAACTTGTCAGTATTGTATACCATTATATTCACTCTGTCAGATTCTGCAACACAACGGTATCATAGCACAGTGGATTGTGTTGTCGGCCACACCACAACACTGAAGTACTGATTACTACTTAATAAAAATAATCTTTATTTATATAAGTACATGATACAAGGTATACAGACGATAGTTGACGTCAGTGACATAATATATAGAAACCCCCTGGTTATGCGGAGCATTTCGGGCAACTTAGGTTAATCTTGTCCCCCAGGATGCAACCCACACCAGTTGGCTAACACTCAGGTATCTACTTGCTGCTAGGTGAACAAGGACAGCACGTGTAAGGAAACACGCCCAATGTTTCCACCCGTATCGGGGAACGAACCACGGACACTCAAAGTGTGAACTGAGTGCGCTACCAACCGAGCTGGGGTACATCAGCGTGGCCCTTGCGGTGGATGAACAGGAAGGGAAGAAAGTGGGGGTGTATGAAGGTTAGGTTAAGTAGGTTTGTCAGGAAATAGGACAAGTGTTTCCTGACGCGGGTCTTAGTCATATGATGACCCACAGCTGGAGCTTCTGGTCATCTGACTGAGTCCTTCAGCTGGCTAACCGGTCAACCCCTTTAAAAATTATGGTTATGATTTTAACCATTTGGATTTTTTCACTAAGATGGTTTGTGTGATGTAAGAGACGTTCCGGATTAAAAATACGGAGGTTCCAGAATACAACTCATTACTACTGTTCTCTTGTTACGTGCGTTGTGGTGAGATTAAACGTGTTTCATCCTCCGTGCTAGTAAGCTTGCTAGCGAGGTTGCTGGCGAGCTTACTAGTGGGCAGGACAGAGGGCATCATTGCCGATTCGATTCGATGAGCTTCGCCGGTACTGTCCCGACCCGATTCTTGTCCAGTTAGTGGCCCGGCGCATCATTGTGGTGTCGTACAGAGGACGTCGAGAAAGAAGCCTTCACTCTCAAGCTTCAGAGTGAACTTGATGGTGAGGTTGAGTGAGTTGATCCTGCCCAGGTCATGGATATCTAGACATAAGATATCATCCACGTACAACAATCAAGTCATGGCGATGAGAAGAATGGAACAAGATCCATTTCCCGAAATGTTCTACGTAACTATGGGCTATCTCCATGTACAACTTGATGTCACCCATCTCTGTACATTGTATCACGCAAAAATAAATTATTATTATTATTATTATTATTATTATTATTATTATTATTATTATTATTATTATTATTATTATTATTATTATTAATTTCTAGGTTCTCTGCCCCACTGTCATCCAGTGTCTCACTCATAAATTAAAGTGAAATATTCTGGTAAAGAAGTGAAGCGAGGTAAACATACAAAATGACATGAATGTCAGGTAAACATTAATACTAATAGACCACTATCAATCACCTCAACCTTAATGGAAGTGCGACGATGGTGTGACGGAGAATGTGAGGAGAAAATGTAAAGGACAGTGTGAGGGAGAGAATGTTAGGATGAGAATGTGAGGGGTGTGTGAGTGAGGGATATGTGAGACAGAGGGTATGGGAAACAAGGTGTGTGTACTCACCTAATTGTGGTTGCAGGGGTCGAGACTCAGCTCCTGGCCCCGCCTCTTCACTGATCGCTGCTAGGTCCTCTCTCTGCTCCATAAGCTTTGTCATACCTCGTCTTAAAGCTATATATGGTTCCTGCCTCCACTACATCACTTGCTAGACTATTTCACTTCCTGACAACTCTATGACTGAAAAAATACTTCCTAACATCCCTTTGACTCATCTGAGTCTTCAACTTCCAGTTGTGACCCTTTGTTTCTGTGTCCCATCACTGGAACATCCTGTGTATGTGTGTGTGTGTACTCACCTAATAGTACTCACCTAATTGTGGTTGCAGGGGTCGAGATTCAGCTCCTGGCCCCGCCTCTTCACTGACCGCTACTGGGTCCTCCCTCTCCCTGCTCCATGAGCTTTATCATATCTCGCCTTAAAACTATATAGGGTTCCTGCCTCCACTACATCGCTCGCCAGACTATTCCACTTCCTAACAACTCAGTGGCTGAAGAAATACTTCCTAACATCCCTTTGACTCATCCGAGTCTTCAGCTTCCAATTGTGACCCCTTGTTTCTGTGTCCCATCTCTGGAACATCCTGTCTCTGTCCACCTTGTCTATTCCACGCAGTATTTTGTATGTCGTTATCATGTCTCCCCTGACCCTCCTGTCCTCCAGTGTCGTCAGGCCGATTTCCCTTAACCTCTCTTCGTAGGACATTCCCCTTAGCTCTGGAACTAGCCTTGTTGCAAACCTTTGCACTTTCTCTAATTTCTTGACGTGTTTGACCAGGTGTGGGTTCCAAACTGGCGCTGCGTACTCCAGTATGGGCCTGACGTACACAGTGTATAAAGTCTTGAACGATTCCTTACTGAGGTACCTGAATGCTATTCTCAGGTTTGCCAGGCGCCCATGTGCCGCAGCAGTTATCTGGCTAATGTGTGCTTCTGGCGACGTACTCGGTATGTTGCAACCCCTGAATGGGTTACAATGATTATTATGTATATATATAATGTATATTATCTTTTCATATAATTTTATATTGCTTATATTTGCGATAATAGCTAAATCGTAAATATATTGCTTTATATTCTTATTTGACTTATGTTGTTAGGATGTACATAATATGTGCTCAGTTCAAGTCTTGATTGTCAAACTACTGTAATTATCGATTGTCGCTCGTTATACTGCCGGCTTCTGAGCTGTGCTGTCCACGGGGCTATCACGTGATCGAAGGGGGGGGGGTGTCCTCACCTCTCGTGAAGTATTCAGTCTGCTCGAGACTCGCTTGGTGGTTGGACAGATTGTCTGTCTCATTATTCTTGTTAGTTCTGTAGAACTCTGTTCACAGAACATTGTATAGACTTAGTGATTTTCGACGTTGTACTGAGGTTGTGTGTCGCTTAGACACTCTGAACATCTCAGGTCCTGAGCTATAGCTTCTGACCTAATTCTGTACTGGTTTCTGTGTATTGTCACAGTCGGGTTTTTCCTATGCTGAACTTAGATTCAGTAGTATGGGAGTTTTGTAACTTTTGTGGAGGATCTGCTGATGGTCCCTACTTAGTGTCGTTATATTATCTCCTTGATCCTGATTGTGTTGCAGTCGCTTGTTATATGGCTATTGGGCTTAGCATTCTTTTCATTGTTCAAGCAGACTGTTCTGGTTGCCAGTCGGTCAAGAAGTTAGTTTATGTGAGGACTTTGTCAGTCACTTGTTTAAGTCTAGTCGAGTCGTGAGACATAGTGAACTACTTAGAGCACTTACACACATACATACACACTTGTACATATTTGTAATATCTTATTAAATGTTAATGTACCAGATGGTACTTAAGAATTATAAATGTGATATGTGCTTTCAGCACAATAATATTGAACTCGAGAGATTGATTTTATTTTGATTGCTGTGATTAATTTAATTTGATAATATACCTCTAGACTTAATAAATTTATTAAATTTTAATTTCTCTAGTTAGTAGCCTACCAGTTGTAATCCTGAAGCACTATTGAATAATACTGAATTTTAATGGATAATTGGACAAGGATACTGACTAATTGTTACGAAAACCCAGTAACAGGCTGGATGCTAGAAGGGCAGTCCTTTCTAGTATTCACTGGAGATCTCTAAGCTTTTAGAATCGCGTTTTTTGTAACACGGTATTATACTCACCCCTAGATCTTTCTCCTTGAGTGAGGTTTGAAGTCTTTGGCCTCCTAGTCTATACTCTGTCTGCGGTCTTCTTTGCCCTTCTTCGATCTTCATGATTTTGCATTTGGGGGTTAAATTCTAGGAGCCAGTTGCTGGACCAGGTGTCCAGCCTCTCCAGGTCTCTTTGTAGACCTGTCTGGTCCGCATCTGATTTAATTCTCCTCATTAACTTCACATCATCTGCAAACAGGGACACTTCTGAGTATCCCTTCCGTCATGTCGTTCAGATATACCAAGAATAGCACTGGTCCCAGGACTGACCCCTGTGTGACCCCGCTCGTCACAGGCGCCCACTGTGATACCTCATCACGTACCATGACTCGCTGTTGCCTCCCTGTTAGGTATTCTCTGATCCATTGCAGTGCCCTCCCTGTTATATGTGCCTGATCTTTTAGCTTCTGTACTAATCTCTTGTGAGGAACTGTGTCGAAGGCCTTCTTGCAGTCCAAGAAAATGCAATCAACCCATTCCTCCCTCTCATTTCTTACTTCAGCTACCTTGTCATAAAGCTCTAGTAGGTTTGTGACACAGGATTTGCCTTCCATGAATCCGTGCTGGCTGTTGTTTATAATCTTGTTCCGCTCCAGGTGCTCCACTATTGTCCTCCTGATAATCTCCATGACTTTGCATACTATACACGTCAGTGACACT